CAGTTTGGATTTAATTCAGAGCCGTGCATAGTTATCTTTGTCAATATAAGGATAGCAAGAAGGCAAACTGGATGACCAAACAAATATGCAGATCTTGGGTTAGGTTGAATATGAGTGAAACAACAACATTTTCACTTTCCAATTTTATTTCAATTTAACTATACATTTATGTATCAATAAATTCTATATTATCTTCTTTTTAATTTTATTAAATTACAAAATATAACATGTTATTTAAAATAAAGTATGTACACAAAACAATTAAAATTAGTTAGGCAGCTATTAGATATGGACGGATTTTTAAATTAATTTTATCACAAATTTATGGAACATTATTTTAAATCTTAAACCGTTTGTATTATAGTTACGAATCATTCTTTATATAACCCAAAAAATGCTACTGAATTAAAATAAAATATCTAACTATAAAATACTAACTGAGGTGCAATTAATCTTAAAAATACTAAATCAGTGCAAACTTGTACAATATACATTATTTGGCTAGTACTTACAAAATTAAATAAAAAATAATCACTAACAAGTTTTAGCCTCGCCCCAAATGAAAGGGTATATACAGAGTATAAAGTTTAACTGGAACTTAATAAATAAAGGTTTGTTTAGGCTTTGTTACTGTTTCCCACCGCCATTTTAGGAACATCACTTTTAATTAGAACCCAACAGTGAATAGTCACCGACCCTTCGATCCCAAAGTCATGACTCTAACCACTGAGCCAACCACCTCCTTTTTTTTTACTTTTTATGCTACTAAACATAATGACATCGCCAAAGTTCAACAGAGAAACAGGGATGAAATTAGGCAAGTAACGTTTGGAATGCTGTTTATTATTGATTATGGTATTGTCAGCAACAATAAGGTGACGGACACTTTGAACATTTTTTGCATTAAAGTAGTTTCAGTAAATATTCCCTCATTTTATTTTTTCTGAAACATTGCTTACAAAAAGTAAGAAACAAAAATATACAATTGAAAAAGTTTTAAAATAAAACACTAATCCATCTACCCTTCCATTAAAAAAGTGGTAAGTTGCTGCAATCCCGCAGATAATTTAACACAAAGAACCCTCTTTGTAATACACCCCATTGAAAATAAAAATTGATATGTTTTGAGGAATTTTTCGATAAACCTTTATTCTGTATCTGTAACGCGTGCATCCTCCTAAGATGATCCGCACTCCTAGCTCGTGAGCCAGCCTACAGATTTAATGTTGTTGACAACCTCGCCAAGAGGTGCTTGTCTCATATCGGCCGGTGTTAGCCGATACTCGCCGAACACAAATCTTCTAATAAATGAGAGCGTCGAGCAATCGTAAAGGATATGCTCGATGGTCTCATCTTCTTGTTCGCACCCTCTGCAAAGTGCGGATTCTGATAGCCCCATGATATGGAGATGTTTCCATACTCGGCAATGACCAGTCAGAATGCCTGTGACTAGGCGCAGATTCTGTCTAGTCATAGTCAAGTATATGTTTGCTGCAGTGTGGTCAGGATAACTTAAGAGCTCCCTGGCAACTCTGCAGTTTCTTGTTTCATCCCATCTTTCCTTGAATTTCACAAGGGAATGTTCTTTAATTAGGTCTGTCACCACCGATTTTGTTAGGCCAATAGAAGGGCCAGGTCCAAAAAGTATTTGGTTGGCTGCTTTCTTGGCTAGTGTATCAGCAAGACGGTTACCTTTCGATGTGGCGTGACCTTTGATCCATCTTAAGATGACCACATTGTTGATGGATACTTCGGCCAAAGCTTCGTGACATTCTAGTACTAACCCTGAGTAAATTGATGGGTCTGTTCAGGGTGAGTAGTGCTTGTCTGCTATCTGTATAGATCCTTCCAGTGATATAGTTTCTGGTGATTTCTTTTGCTGCTATGAGAATCCCCGTTAGCTCTGTTTGAACTACACTGACACTATTGCTCACAGCCCATTTTATGTTTATGTTTAAGAACCTTTATTTATTGAGGTACAGAATTTATTAAAATTTAACTCTCCACTCTGTATAATTTTTGATAAATATTAGTGTGGCAAAATTTTGAAAAATGTCTATGTATGACGAATAAAAGAAAATTGTCATCCTTTTAGGAAGCTCAACAACTTCAAACAAGTGACAGACATGTGTCGAATTAACAGAAGGGCAGTGTTCATAATTAGGCATTCCAAACAAAATAACTGTCAGTTTGGGATGTCTAAAAGGTTGTGCGATACAAGATGTATTTTATCTACAATACGTGATATCATGAATAATGATTAAATTTAAGTATTTTATGTCAACTACAATGAAAATATTATTAAAAAAAAAAAAAACGCTTATACATTTATTATAAATTGGCAGAATTGACGACTACTATTTCGAATAAAAATAGCGTCCAAGATGGAAGGCTATGGCGCAACCCCCTTAGTTCTTCCTACTGACAGCTATTGTTTGACAGGTCGTTGGAATGCCTATTTGTATGAGAGCCCACTGCAAATTTCGTCATCTGATAACGAAATGAAATATTCCCCGAAGGCTTGTAAAAACCTTCTACTTTACAAAACAGCACCTGTGCCAGTCATTATCATGAACAAAATGAATTTAGACTGCAAAAGAGGATGTGCCGATCATATGACTCAGGAAAAGAGGTTTTGTTCTATTAATCAATAGGTATCCATTGTTTGACTTTGCTCAGGATAGTGATTGGCACACATCCGTTTGGTAAAGTACAATGTTGTTATATGCCTTCGGGGTATATTTCAATTCGTTATCAAATGACAGCCTAAATTTGCAGTGGGATCTTGGGCTATAACCAAAATTTTGATAGACATATCAGTTCAAAAAAGAAACATTAAAATAACGGATTTAATTTAGATCTGTTTCTACGTTGTCTCTTTCGAATATTTCAATATTTTTGTAGATATCTAATTTTTGACAAATTTTAAGGTGTATTAATAAGTATTCTCCATCAGAGTATCACAGCTTTAAGAAGAAAATAAAAACAAATATAAGACGATAAGAATTTAAATTGAAGTTAATTTGACAACAAAGTTACTTATTATATTAGTAATTCCACACCAATAAAACAATTCTTGCACTTTCCTTCATTACATATTTTAATCAGATGTCTACAGGGTGTCCCCGATATAACTGTCGTAATTTTAATAGGTGATGGTATATCATTAAATAAATTAAAAAAGTTTAATCATGTAACACAATACTGAAAGTAGCTATTAATTTAATCGTTAATTGTTATTGTATCCAAACAGATTAATCGTTTTTTTAGTGTTGTGTCATCACAAGTAAACTCCCACATATTAAAGGTACGACACTCAACCAGCGGACACCTTGTATATTTACTTATCTAGAATATAAGGCAAACAAAAATGTATTATTTGATATATTACCCATTCTTATTTGTAATATTTAAAAATTATTAATCTAGCTGTTTGGCATAGAAAATTAAATACTGAATAAGGAATAATACATAATTTTTTCAATATTCGAAAAGTCAGTTTAAATTATATACATATACTTGTAAACAATATCAATGAAATCGATTATTCGAGTTTTACGGAACTTCCAGTAAGGAAAACTTAAATCCAAATTTGTATTTTAGTTTAGCCGAGTTAAAATCTGGACAGGGTACGGGACCCATTTTTTAGACGTGGACAACGATGCGGGGAGACCCAGGGTAATTTGAGCGACCTAACACCCCTAAAAATTAAAGAACACCCTTTTAAGGGGCGTTTTCTCGATAAACGAGGCCTGGATAATGCGGGATAGTTTTATTTTGTCTTTTTATGGAGGATAATTATAGAGGAAAGTGTTTTCGTCATTATAGTTTAGATGCATTTATATATGCTCGTTGGTTTTACCAGAAAACTTTCCAATAAAGTGTGTTTTTCGCATTTTTAGAGGTGTTCAAGCTCAAATCACCCCGAGACCCAGCGCATCTAAAATGTTTGATAAACAAAATAAAATATCTATATAAAGAGCTCTAGAAAAAAAAATTGCAGGAAACTAAATATGCTGAACTAATGGAACCATCAAAATGGTGCTCCTCCTGTGAGTAAAAAAATACTTATAAAAACGACGATAGACGTTCCAATTCGGCTATGGGAAGCAATCAAAATCTCACATTTCAGTTACTAAGGATAAATCCACACCCCATCGAAGAAGGTTGTAACTTACGATACATCCATTTGAGATGTCTCTGATACTCGTTTGTAAAAAGTTGCATTTCAGCCTTAAAACGGGAGTAACACATTTTTATCTCAATCAAATATTGTTTCGAATAATATGTAGCATATTATAAGATTGCAAAATGAGTTACCTTGTTGTTTACAATAAAAAATAAACGTTTTTCTTACTGTAACATGGTCGTATCTTACTGCCTCATGTTATGTTAATAGTTAAGGTGGATCTCAATCAAATACAACTTATTAATGGTTTATAAAATTTAAATAATCATTGTCTCATAAGTAACCTACATTTATTAACTGTTGGAGTATTATGCAGTTTCTACACAAAAATTGAGTTACAACCTTTTTCGATGGGGGTTTCGAAATAAGAAAACAAAAATAACTTTTTTTAAAAGAAAAATTAAGTTCCTCACTGGCTAGCATTAATTGTATTTCATATACAACTCAAAAGTTTTACATTAAAAAATTGCAAACGTGAAATAGAGTCCCTGTTTCAGACTCAAAAAAATCATATTAGTATAGGTATATTAAACAATAAATATTTAAATAAATAGTTTTAACTTGATATAAAAATAATATCAGTTATTGTCATGTAAAATTTACGAAATATAGATATGTTACTGGTACCTAAAAAAAATATTTCAATATAAAAATATTTCAATTTCTTTAGAGAACAGAAGCTTCACTGCATGGGCAATTTTCCTGATAAATGAGGAAATTCTATATAATTATTAAAATAACTAACCTTCAAAATCATTTTAAATATTATAATTAAATTCTAATCAAAGGGTGATCATTTAATAGTTTCAAACTCGGTTTCATTTTGCTATACTATCCAGTCCATACGTATGGAATACATTCATTTTTAGTGTTATTAGGTCTGCCAACACACGTGAAAACGAAAATATTACGGTACAAATCATGTGCTGTATACAATTTTTGTCAAGAGCGCATGATTTGTACCGTAATATTACGGTTTTCGCGCGTATTGGAACAAACCTAATATGTACTTTTGAGAAAAAATTAAAACGGATAAATTTCTATTCTTAATTTGTTTGTAGTAGACTTTTAAATATTATGTAACAGTCTGGGTTTCATTCTACATAAAGTTTTGTGATGGAGACATTATCATAATTTTACATTTTCAAAATTAATTTTGCCCAAAATTTAAAAAGAACTTTATATTCCTGAAGAGATAATTAAAAACCCTTCTAAACAAGTTGCCACATGACCGCCATTTTTAATTAAAATTTTCGAGACGCTCATACTATAAATTGTCAAATTAAAAATAGAAATCGGTTTCAGATTTTTCCCAAAAGCGCATATTAACGCTAAAAATGAATTTATCATATGGACCGCACAGTATAAAATTGTACATCTAGTTAAAAAATGTTTTTATGTGACTGTCACAAAAAAATGACATTTTACGAATTTATTAACATTCCTAAAGTATATTTTTTGACCGTATTTACTTTATGGTCGTTTTTTATATACGTTAATAAGTCTGTACAAATTTTATTCCCGTATTTAAGTCTATTTTTAGGAAAAAGAATGTAAAAAAAAATGTTAGATCTACTTGATGAGTAGAATAGTTTTTACCTCGGCCGTATGATCTTTTTTTGCCCAACCAGAAGTTGTTGGCCTAGGCCGTACATTTCTGATTTGGCTAAACAAGATCAACTTTACAGCCTTTGCACACAAATAACTAAAAAGGACTTTCTCAACGAAATAGTTTTTTACTCAATGCCATGATGCTTCTGCTCAAGGAAAGTGTTAAAAATCAGTCTTGTTATAAAATTTGTATATCAACTCCACATATCTAAGAAACACATAATCATGTGAATGAGATGCTCCGGTGTTTCTATCATTGGTAAGTGACCAGCATTTGGTATGAGTTCCAAAAATGCCCTTGGTATTGTCTGAAAAATATAATAAACATAACTTTACCATGGCGAATATAAAATGGCTTTTTCTATTTTACTGGATAATATAATCACATAAATTAAAATACGAGGTTATTTTAGTCAATAATTATACAAAGTATAATTTAATAAGGAAAACAAAAAAAATAGTTAAGATAAGGAGAAAATTGATGGACAAGTATGTTGCTGGTAATTATTAATTTAAGGGTTTTTGATATTTTTATCCAAGTAATAATGTGACCAGGTTCAATGTCTACAACTGCAGTTGAATAAGAAGCTGTTTTGCCATCTTTAATTCTTTGTGTCACTGTACTAGAAGAAATGCCAGAAGTTATTTCTTGAGAACTCTATTGAACACTGATTTCATTATTTTTTCTTACTTGCAGACTTTTAATTTATTAACTTCAACCTTCAATGCTATGCTATGCTTCATTTAGAAGAGATTCTATTTTCTTAAAGGTTACACTCATCAAAAGAGAGCATGATATCTAACATCAATTACCGTGATATTGATTATAATACTTTACATGTTCTTCCCATGCCAAATTTAGAGGTATTATGCACACATTTGTACAGTGAAATGCATACACAATATTATAGTAAAAAATAAACAAACCAGTAGATTTAATGGGACAGCTACAGTATAGCGTGTACCAGTAACTCTTCCTACAGATATTGTTTGCCTCCCAGATTTGATTCTGACTTTCCCTATGAAGTAATTATTAACAGCCACCAAAGTTGGTATACAGAGTTTGGGAGGGATTACCTTTTTCTCTTAGAGAGCCTGACATAAAAGCTCTCAATTCTTTTAATTATGAGTCTATCGGCATTTGTCTGTTTACAAAAATAAGCTGATATATTATATAATTACAACAAAGGTGATTATTTGGACTTTAAATATTTGGTAATTTAATTCTCTTACCCTCTCCATTTCACATTCTTGAACCAACGTAACGTGTTTATCTTGTAAACCATGTACCAAAAGTGTGGGAGCTGTGATGCGTCTATGGAATGCTGTATCACCTTGCAACCATTTTTGACCATTTGCTATGTTCTCTATAACATGCCTGGGCAAACCATTTTCATCATCGCATACTTTAAAGTGTTTTCCTCTGATAGAATAGAAGAGACTCCTAAAAAATCGAGTTTTAAAAATAAAAATTGGGTTTTTAAAAAGTAAGGACAATTCTATACCTCTTGACTCCACAGTATAATAAAGGATTCAGAAGTGTGTAAGCACACCCTAAAGGGGAGATTTCATTGTCTTTGACAGGAGGAGCTAAAGGTGTTGGCCCACCACCACTTATTAATATTAGCTGTCCAATCTGTTGTGATCTGTGTGGGTACATGGCAGTTATAAGACTACAACTAAAAAAAAAGTTATTACTATTACAGAATTTTGAAATAAATTAAATATTTGTAAACTTACCCATAAGAATGTCCAATTAATATACATTTTCTTTTACTATCTGCCACATAATGGTCAAAAATAGTAAGTGCTTGAAGTAACAAATTATTAAAAGTGTAATAACATGATTTTATTGGTGCTGAACTAAAGCCATGACCTAACATGTCTGGAGCAACAACTTCATAACCTCGAGAGGATAAAGCATTTATTACTATAGTCCATATGTCTGCAGATGTTCCAATGCCATGAAACATCATGACAAGTGGTTTCTACAAATAAAAAGAAGTTTTGATCATATTATGACTTTTTATTTCCTCTATATGATGCATTGGACTGAGATTTTTTTAAAGTTACTAATTTAGCAAAATCCATATATACCTGTTGGACTTTCTTATGAACACAACTTTTCTTTGGACAAGAGCTTTTAACATCAGTCTTTATAGCTGTTGAATCTTCCTTAGAAACACCATTAAACTTTAATTTTCTACGCAATGTGACAACTATGTTTTCTTCATCAGTTACTTCATATCCTAAATTTATTTGACACATGTCTTTGTTTCTATTTAAAGTTTTAGTTTGTGACATGTAATACTCATGAAATGCTTCAAAAAAGGTGTCTTGTATGAGACGTTCAACGAATGTTGCTAAATTTGTGATTTTTGTAGGTGGAAGGTCTATACTTGGAATACTGTAATAAATAAAAAATGAACAAAAGTCAGAAGTTGTAAGCATAAAGAATTTAATTTTTTTGGTGAGATAATTATGTCTAGAAATTGAGTTTAATTATTTTTAAAGTTGGAAACAGAACTATTATTGATGCAGGTTGACTAGCCATAGACATGCTGTTATAAACTTAAACGGTTGACTAACTAATTTAAGTTAGGATTAGTTTAAAAACAATTTGCCTTAGTCTGAGATTAAAGAGTCTCAGACTTGCTAAACAAGGCAAAAAAATAGATATTGTGAAACCGCTGTAAAGAATATAAGAGGTGTAAGAGAATGGAGAGTAGTTCTTAAGATTGTACAATGACAGAACTAGATCTCTCTGTATTGAACTATTTAAATTCTGAAAAATGGCTAGAAGTTTATGATGCATATTTGGTGAAAGATAAATATATTGCTTTTATTACAATCTTCGGTTCATATTACAATATATGTTTTAAATCCAAACCTCAAATGCAGAATAAAAGGCAGAGCTCTTATTGAGTTTCTCCCACAATTACTGAGGCAAAAAATAGACTGATGTTTTTGCATGAATGGCAAAAACAGCATCCTAGTACTCAAAATATTCAATTATATAAAGATTATAAATTAACATATTTAAAAATTTTGGGAGCAGCAAAACATGATTTTTGCAATAATTATATATTAAATTTTGATAATAAGGCAAAGACTTTGTGGAATATTATTAACAAAGAAATTGGTCGAAATAAAACAAATATAAAGCCAGAAAATTTAACTCCTGAAGATCTTAATTTTTTTTTTTATTAATAATGCAGAAAACAATTTAGAATCTAGAGAAACCAGATATACCTGCTACTTCCTTTATAAATATACCACAATTAAAAAATTCAATGTCATTTCAGCCAGTTACCCAAACCGATATAGAATCAATTGTAAAAGATTTAATAAATAAAAGAACAGAGGATATTGATGGATTTAATGTATTTATAATGAAAAAATGTATTTCTTTTTTATCTAAACCTTTAACTATAATTATTATAAATGCTTGTCTAACTGAAGGAATATTTCCTGATAGCATGAAAATTGCTAAGGTCTGTCCTCTATTTAAAAAAGGAGACTCTTCTCAGCCTTGCAACTTCAGACAAATTGCTGTACTTCCCATATTCTCCAAAATCTTGGAAAAAATTATGTATAATAATCTAATATCATATTTAAATTCTTCCAACATATTCACGCCATTCCAGTATGGTTTTAGAAGGGGGCAATCTACAATAGATGCAGTATTATTTCTAGTACACTATATAGAAAATTGTTTTGATAAAGCTGAAAACGGTTTAGGTGTATTTACAGATCTAAGCTCTGCTTTTGACTGTGTGGATCATTCAATTCTATTATCAAAACTGGAGAGGTATGGAGTACGAGGGATTTGTTTACAGCTTTTTGAATCCTATTTAACTGACAGATGTCAAACAGTCATCATCAAAAATTGCAAAAGTTCATTGATGCATATCAGAAGAGGTGTCCCGTAGGGCTCAATTTTGGGTCCATTACTCTTTTTGATATACATTAATGATCTACCTGACCATATGCATTTTGAAAACCTTATCACATGCATATTTGCTGATGATACTTCTTTTTGTATTAATACTAAAAGAGGAACAGATCATGATCAAGTTTACTCTGATGTCATGATTCAGGCAAAGAGGTGGTTTTCTGTAAACGACCTGTTTCTAAATGACACAAAAACTATCTCCCAATTATTTACAGTAAATAGTTAATAACAATTCTGTTAAAACACTTGGCATTCAAATTGATCCACATCTCAGATGGACAGATCATATTGAAGCATGTTGTTCCAAATTATCATGAGCAGTTTTTGCTATCAGGAAAATACACCAAATATGTGGTCAAGATGCAGCAATTACTGCTTACTATGCTCTATTTCATAGTCATTTGACATACGGAACAATATGTTGGGGCAATGCTGCTGACACTATATGCAGTAATAATTTATCAAAACCTATTTGTAAGAAATAATATTAACACATTTTTTTCCCACTCAGATATCCATAACTATAATACAAGGCACAAAGATAACTTAGTCCCTATCCAGTATAGACTGGAAAGGACAAAGAAATATTATATTGAGCTATACAATATACTACCACTTAATTTTAGAAATCAGCCTATAGATAAATTTAAACGCATTAAAACAAATGTTATCCAATAATTGCCTATATAGCTTAGAGGAATTTAAATCAATACAGATGGAGGCTGTCACTGTTGTCTCTGAGTGATTCAGTGAACTATGTTGTAAATTTCAATTTTATATTATTATATTTAGGTAAATTTTATTATATATATATTTAGTTTTAATTGTAATTTGACGAGCCATAAAATGTAATATTTTCTCAGGTAAATAAAGATATTGTATTGTATTACAATTCCATGATCAAAATCAATGCAGAACTTGATATCACAATATTAAATCAAATGATGCAGAAAATTTTAATTAATTGCAAATCTTAAAAAAATTAAAATCATTTTGTATTATTTTATTTTGTCTATTATCACTATTCCCTGCATAGAAATAAATTCCCTACCACTAAATGGCTTGCTGTAGGGTGGTGTATTTATATCAAAATCTTCAAGCATACTCTAAAATAAATAAATAAATATGAGGAATTTATTTATTACTCATGATATTTAAACATCCCAGAAGAATATTTCTTAATATGGCAGTTTGGGTACCACATTACAAATCTATGATGATATTATCGAAAAGGTTCATAAACACATTTTTGAAAACATAATACTTTCCCAATAAGTTCTTTTTTAGAGAAATTCCATTCATTTACAAACATTATGTTTTTGAAAGTGTTTTGATTAGTTATACATTAGAATAAATTTTTGTTCTAATTTTTACTTATAAGAATGTAAAAAGATGTTGAAATAAATAAAATATTGTCCTTAAATTTATGAATAATCCTAGGTATGTGGTATACTTACAGTTTTCTAGTGTTCTCTGCATTCAGCAATGAAGGTTGGCTGGAGATAGCCGAATGGCGCAAAGACCTTCTAAATGAACAATTGCAATTTCCTAATTTTAATGGTTTGTTCCATTTATTAAACCAATATTCCTCAGACAAAGAACATCTCTTAGCATTTGTTGAATCAAATAATACTGGTTGAGATAAAATCACTGATTTTCGAATAAAACCTGGACTTACATGTATAACTCTTATTTGAATCTTAGAATCGATTACAATGAATTCACAATCTCTAGGTGGATTCTGATCAAAAGGATGTATTTTATGACCGGAGTTAAGGGTGCTCAAAAAGGTATTCCATGAGCTTACCACTTTGGGAATGCACCCTTTCGCACTTGTATGTTCTGTCATGACTTAAATTTAGCTATGTAACTCCCATTCTCAATTTATCCTATATAAATCCTCATTACAGCAATTAATTATGATTCATGTTTATTGGGTTGATTAAAGTATTATTAAAGTTAAAAGGTACCTTATCAAAGCAAACAATACCAGACACCTAAAAACATATGTATAACAGTATATGGAATGATCATGTAACAAATAATGCATTGCCTTTTTTAATTCTAGAATGTCACGTTTACTTACCATAACTGTGTACTTGTTTTTTAAAAACGGACATATTTAAATAAATTAGCGAAGTGTACCATTGTCATTACTTCCTAAAACAGAAACGTTTCTCTTACATTTTTAAAGCGGCAAATTCTTTGATAAGCAACGATATATTGTGTTTTATATTCAGAAATTCAAATAAATATACAACATAAATATTAACAACTGTTGCTGTTGATTTTTATGACCTTGATAACCAATATTCAATAAAATAACAATTTGTTACGGTTCTTATAATTATAGAGATGGGCACTTCAAAACTTATAAGGAAAGTGTCTACTCAACCGAAATATAATATTTGTCTTTTTAGAACAATTCAAATTTTATTGTCTTCTAAATCAGGGTTTGGAAGATATAATTTTTATTTCCGATATCAGGAAAGAAAAAAGATATCACACTTAACTTTAAATAAAGTAGAAATAATTTATTATTTACCGCAACTCAGTCTACATTGATTAAATAAATGTATACCGGTTGTTCCTAAATGTCGCGTTAATATTGAAGAAATCAATTCATCGGCTTATTTTATTACTATAACGTTATTTAATCACAACAATGTGAGCGCTAAATTGATATTTCTTAAAATAAATAACAATTTAGAACACATACTTATTAGGTCAAGAAATTACCTACTTCACTAATTTGATTTCAGTAGACACAACAGCTTCCTTATTTTCTGCTGAACAACAAGTTTTGTTACAAAAATTCATCTTCAGCCGACCATGCAACATGCAACTGTTGCAAATGAAACTGAGACAGATAACAGAACCTGATCAAATTTTTTTTTGCTGAACGCAGCCAGTCACTGACAAGCTGAGTTCTGCTGCCAAAGTCATAAGTCACACGTCATTTTTATTTTTTTTTATCAGTCAAAATTTCATCCATAACAACGAACAACCTTTAAAAACTTTTAACTTTGTACCATTTGTACTTTGTACTCTTAATCGAATTATTTGAAACAAATCTCTTTTATAATAATTCACTTAGCTTTAAGTTTTAAAATATATTAGCATGTTTTCCAATTATTCCAGAACTCTGGGAACCCAGGTAGGTAAATGTTTTATTTTTGTCAACGTATTTTATTTCAGTACGATTTTTGTAATTTTTTGTAATAATTCTAATGTTAATAAAACTATTTAATTATACAGATCAGGAGGTTCCAAAGTACTTTGGTAATAGCTGAACATAACAATGAGGTTCTTTCTCCAATTACTCAAAATGCTATAACAGCAGCCAAGAAGCTAGGTGGTGATATATCCGTTCTCGTAGCTGGTACAAAATGTGGACCAGTAAGTTTTCATACTCATTAAGTACATGAAGGCATAATAAAAATAATACCAATATTTTATCAAATTTAATATTCACATATTATATCTCTTTAATAGGCTTCCTCATCTTTGACAAAAGCTGGAGGTTTATCAAAAGTACTAATCGCCGAAAATGAAGCCTTTAAAGGATTTACTGCAGAAAGTTTAACCCCATTAATAATTAATGCTCAAAAACAGTTTGGATTCACACATATTATAGCTGGTGCTTCAGCTTTTGGAAAGGCACTGTTACCTAGAGTTGCATCTAAACTAGATGTTTCTCCAGTGTCAGATGTTATTTCCATTAAATCAGCAGACACATTTGTCAGGAGTATTTATGCAGGTACAATTTTGCAAATTACATAAATTTCTTTATTCATTTATCGACATTCTCATGCAGGTAATGCTATGCAAACCTTAGTGGTTAAGGATGGTATTAAGATTTTGACTGTAAGGGGCACTAGTTTTGAACCAGCTTCTCTTGATGGAGGTTCAGCAACTACAGAAAATATTTCAGCTGATGGTTGTGCCACTGATATGACAACATTTGTCAGCCAAGAACTTAGCAAGTCTGACAGACCAGAACTCAGTGGTGCGAAAGCTGTTGTTAGTGGGGGTAAGAAGATAATCTTAATTTTTTATTAGTCAAAACTAAATACAAAATTCAAATTGTTCACTTCTATATAAGTGTACATGTTTTAGGTCGTGGCTTAAAGTCAGGGGACAACTTTAAACTCTTGTATGATCTTGCTGATAAATTGAAAGCTGCTGTAGGAGCTTCCCGTGCTGCTGTAGATGCTGGATATGTTCCAAATGATATGCAAATTGGACAAACAGGAAAAATTGTTGCACCAGTAAGTAATTATAAGAAAATTGGTTTACAATATAACAGATCAAAAACATATTCCTGTTTTTTTATTGATAATTATCAAGATATGATTAATTGTACTTAATTAAGTTGTTAAATGAGTTTCTATAAAAACTAAACATCCTTTTCTTATTTCCTTCATAATTTCGGAATTCTTTTTTTATTGTCTTTTAAAGCTCTCATATTTTCATTTCCATCAATTTTTTGTCCTACAAAAATAATAGAATATTATGTATGTTTGTTTTCTTAGTTTTGAAGGCTTTTAAATATGTATATTTTAATCTAAAAGTGGGATGCAAAAATCGAAGATTATTTATTTCTGTATTGAAAAAATGATTAACAAATTTCGGTGCTACATGTTTGGAGTGAGTGCAGACAAAGACTACCCTGTTATGTAAAACATGAAAATGTCATAAACTCTGTGCCACTAATTGATTTTAGATCTATTTTGTCACTCCATTGGTTTGATGAAGTAGAAATCATATCTTAATTTAATAATTTAGACATTTCCAAGAAAGCCGGTCCTGTTGGAGTTTCACCTGTTTTCTTAAAAAACTGTTGTTCCTCTCTAGCTTCTTCATTATGCATAATATTGTCTCTTATAAGCAGACGATTTAAAATTCTTTTCAGTAACTAGTTTTAACTGTAACCTACATGCCGATCTTAACAACATCGTCAGTTAGTATCACAATTCACAATAATAATAATTGTCTTAACCTCAACATTGAAAAATGCAAAGTAGTAAAATTTTATCACTGCATTAGACTATTGAAATAGCTAATAATAAGTTAACTTTGGCACAAATTGTAAATGATCTCACAGCTATTTTCAATAAAGACCTATCCTTTATCCTTCATTTTGAAAATATTAAAAACAGCATTTTAATTTTTGGGATTGCATTAAAATGTCTTTATAATAGCCCCGTCAGAAGTATTGTTGAATGCTGCTCAGAAATCTTGTCACCATATTATAACTGCTACCTTTTTGAAAAGTGAAGAAAGGTAGGGTTGCTAGATTTACAAAAGAGAAAAGCGGGACAAAGGTTATGACAGGGGATCTGGTCAAATAATTTTCAGTGAGCTTCTAAAAAGAAAAAAGGTTCTCATCAGCTTATATATTAATAAACACTTGGTCTTTTTACCGAGCTTCTAAAACAAAGAAAAAGGTCCTCAGCTTATATTTTTATAAAAACCAGGTCCTTTTAAAGGACATGTGCTGTAAAAAAGCACATGTGCCATAAAAAAGGCATTTTAAGCTTTAAAAAGTCACAAGAACAATTTGTTTGAAAAAAGTACAAATGACAACCCTACTGCTACATAGAAACATTGGAAAGAGTGCAGAATATTTACTTACTAAGTATTTACTCCATAAACTTCGATTTCCATATCAGACCATCGAATATGAAACAAAGATATTATTGTGTGGTCTCAAAATTCTGGAATTCAGACGTAGGGAAGCCATTGTCACTTTTCTGTACAAATTACTAAATTGACAAATTGACAGTGAGGTATTACTTGGCATGATATATTTCTTGGTCTCAACAACACAGACGAGGCAACAGCAATTATTCTATGAACTTCTACACCCAACAAATTATAGTCTTTAGATATGTTGGCAAGAAATTATAACAGACATTATTCGAGTGTATCATTTTTGCTTGTAGTCTTTTTTATTTAAAAAATAATCTGTTGTATATTTTTTTCTTTTTATATTTGTCAGCTTTAACAATAACAAGGATCGCCATTGTTTACACTAACTTCAAAATATGTAGATTTAGTGTAATTATTGAGCTTCTCTTCAAATATTTGTATATTGATTTTATTATAAAGAGACTATGTAATTCTTTAGACGAATTGATATGCTTGATCAGATTTATTTGGAATTTAATTTCACTTTTAGGATCTATACATTGCAGTAGGTATCTCTGGAGCCATTCAACATTTGGCTGGTATGAAAGACAGCAAAACCATTGTGGCCATCAATAAGGACCCCGAAGCTCCCATCTTCCAAGTAGCTGATTATGGACTTGTAGCTGACTTGTTCAAAGCTGTTCCAGAACTAACGCAAAAATTGTAATTTTGAATAATATGAGAGAGTCTGTTGTAATGTTTTTTAAAATGTTTTTGTAACACCTTTTTGAATAAATAAAGTATATTTTGTTAAGTACTTGGTAGTTAATATATTGTTTATTGAAAGTTAGTTATTATGTGAGTTCATTATTTAGCCCCTATATTATATCGTCCTTGAAAATCCAAATTATGAAGTCTGTTTTACTTTTCTTATCTTAGCAACCCCAAGTACTACATATTCATTTCATAGAGTTTGTGAGTTCGCCACAGTAGTTATTTATTATGTACTGGTTTAGAGATTAGGAAATAGGTTAGATGTTACCATGTAACTTGTTTTAAAGGTCACAGAGGAGATTAGAAATCCTCACACTGGTTTTAGATGTCATCAGATGTGTCCAGAGGTCATAAATCAAGTTTAGAGTTCATCCAATTGGTTTTAAAGTATGGAAAACTGATTTTAGAAGTCGCCAGACACCAGGGGGTCGATTCTCGACTTGTAGGAACCTTTTCCTATAGGAATTTGTGTCACTTTCCTATATGTAGGGAAATGTCATAAATTTTCTATGTATAGAAAAATTTAAAAATTCCTATAGGAAAAAATTCCTACGAGTGGAGAATCGACCCCCAGAGAGGACCTGAAACACTGATGGATTGGACCATGAAGGAAGGATAATACTATTAATAAAATTTATCTAACAAATTATTTTCTATTCTAAAGCGTACCTAAAATATTCAGATTAATAATAGAAATCGATTTATTATAAGTATACATAGAATTTAAAATATTTTTCATTAAAGGCAATTCCCCAATGAAAATCTACATGTCAATCTTGGAATCATTTCAAAACAAAAACACGAAAAATCAAGTATCGATATCAATCCGGAATTGTGAGTGATATTTAGCGATTTTTTCTGTCTGTTGCAGATGAATTTTATAAAAATACCTACACGAAGCAATTTTAAAACTCTAAAAACATTAACAAACATGATTTTTTTTACTAGAATTTACACCGATGTATTAAAATTGTAATGGTAGCTACATTTTCGGCATAGAAACGGAAGCGGCAATTACCATTTTAAAGAGTTTGTAAAAAATGTAATGTGAGTAGGCTGGGTTCAAATACGTTATAATTTTGAGTATGTGTAATAAGGCAGCTAAACGGTAACTATACTCTGTTTTTAAACTAAGAGGAGCGATTTGAATTTAAGTTAGCAATTCTGTAAACTTCTAATTGGTCAGATTGAAGTCAGTTTCACACATCACTTTTTAGCTACTGTTGACAGGGGTTGACAGTTCTATTTTCGATTCTGACATTTTATAATTTAATTTTTGTTATTGCTTTGATATCTCATCATTATTACTTAGTTTTTTATTTTATTTCTTTAATAACAGTTCTTTTCAAAACTTTAGTAGCAATTGTATTGAATTTCTACGATTATGGATCCTTCTACATCGAATACTACTCGCGGAGTCCATCAAAACAACGAAAATGAATGAGTTTAGGCTATTCAAGTCTCTCAGAAAAGCAGTAAATAATAAATATGTACAAATAGGTATTGGATAATAATACGAAAACCAAAATTGTTGATGTTATATTCAAAATTTCTCAAGCTACCAGTAAGTTTTACTCATTACTTTCAAATTAAAAATAATATAGTAGCGAGTATTTTATCGCGGTTTAACCATAGCACTTAGGCCTTAGGCCCGGTGCTCCAATTCTATCAAGAGAAATTATTATGTATATACAAACTTTATTCCCGGAGCCTCTGTCGGTGACATGTCCACGATAGATATATAAACATGCACATTTTGATTTTAAGCGTTCGATTTTCGGCTCTAAGAACGCTTAAAATCGAAATGCGCATGCTCATCTGTCGTGGACATGTCACCGACAGGCTCCGCGAACAAAGATAATGACGATCGGTTTTATAAAAATCTTTTTCTACACCCGTATTACAATAATACATTTATATGCTCATAATCCGTTTCATAATGATACCCATTATAATACAGATTTTTCATAACGATACAGATTTTTAATCAATAGAAACCCATAATTTTTTAATCAAGCATGCTGTGCATTTGACGTTTGTCCTAGGTTCCTATGTAATTGTTTTAGTTGTCAAAATCAGTACGTATTAAATTTTCGTAGATAGCTAAACTTCGATAATTATATTATCAAAATGTCTGATATCAACGATATACAAGACTTACCATCGACTCCTTCACATATCGGAGAAAGCAAAAAATACAGTACAAAACATTTTGCCCCAAAAATCTATGGTAATACCAATACCCGAGGTAATACCATTAATTACAATTTTGTAGAATTGTTTATATAAATACGAGTAATTACTGTTATTGTGTTCATTACAAATATAATATTTATAGTTCTTTATTTCATTGTCTATTTATTTCATTGTCCTTGTCAAATTACCAAGCCTACAGGAGGCGAGTTCGGTCAGTCAGGGGCTGGAGCGGGACAAATTTTAGGGTGCTTTTAAATGACATTTAAGCGTGTTAAACTGTCACTAATCGGACTAAACCGAACGCTAAAAGAGTCGTTTGGAGTTAAAAGTGTTAAAGGAGTTAAAGGAACGTGGCAAACCGAACGCAATGAGGGGGGCTATTTTCAAACTCGAAAGAATTCATTTCTCTCAAGAGAAATGTCATACGTCAACGTAAAACCGTATTTTTAGGGCTCTTAGGGCCAGTGTGAACTCACTGACTGTTTCTCTCGGTTTATTTAGAGAGAATTAAAATCTTCCTAAGAAATTTAATCCTCGATGCCTTTAAAAACAACATTTCCACATTGACGTATGACATTTCTGATGTCATGTCTTGAGAGAAATGAGTGCTCCCATACTTTGAAAATAGCCCCCCCGGGGCTGGAACTCTGTGTCATGTAGAATTCTACTTATCGCTTTCTACAATAGAAATCGATTACTTTCTTTTGTGATAAATACGTTATCAACCGCACGGGAAATATCGCAATGTGGTTTCTTATGAAACTAGTTATCCTGTAGTAAGTATATACTCGTTGGTTTTCCGCTATGTTACACAGAGTGCCACAAAAGAATCTATTGTAGAAAGCGATAAGTAGAATTCTACATGACACAGAGTTCCAGCCCAGGGTTGCCATAATTTTGCCCTATCATAACCTGTCAAAAACCCACTGGTAGCCATTTTGTTTGGAATGTCTAATAGAGTTTTCTTGTCAAATTTAAATTATTAACCCCAACCCGATTTTTATTTTTTACTCTCTTCAAATGGACATACAATTGTAAATAATAATTTTTTTTCCCAACACCACAAAAGCTGATCGATCCGAATCAATATGCAATGTCAAAAAGAAAATACGTTCCGTCCGATGCATCTGTATTGCGTCCGATACGTACAAATGCGTGCTTACCTTTATACGGAATATTTTTGTAAGCTTTTCTATAATCAAGTCAGCTAGATTTCGTATATTTATGACATTTGCATTAAAAAAATAAAATGGTGACTAATTTGACAGTGTTGAGTTATTTAAAAATGTTTTCAAGAAAAAACATCGTGATTTATCTTCGTTAGTGTTAGAAATATTAAAATCAGTTTCCTTACAATTTATGGTAAGATATACACTTAATTTAAATGGTGAAAATATGTCAAACTTTACTGGTAGGTATGCCGAATCTGAGCGGCATACCTATGACGCTTTGTTATATTTTAACGCTGGGTAAAAATTACTGAACATTCTTAAAAATTTACATTATTCAAACCTATTTTTGTTTTAGACCCTAAGTATATTTGAATTACTGATTGCGGAAGGGTACAAGTCATGTTTTTGTCGATTTTGTGATTTATAGATCAACCCAAATTTAATATAGATTATCTAATAGTACAAATCATTCTGCATCATTGGGTGCATGAAAGGGTTCATATTCCAACAGCAGGGGGTCGATTTTTGACTCTTAGGAAGTTTTTCCTATAGGAATTTTTGACATTTTTCTATACATAGGATATTCATGACATTTTCATGCATCAGTCAGTGCCGCCGAGAGCCATGGTAGGGCATCAGGGCAAAACACTGGCAAGGGCTCACCCCCACATATTATAACCTATTTTTTTAAAGCTGCTGGGCCCCGGACCCCGGGAATTTTGCCCCTGTCCCTCCCTCTCGACGGGCCTGAAATCAGAAATTCATTTAATGCAATAATTTCTTATTCTTTTCGGAAATTATGATTATATGAGTATGGAAGAAAATTATTTTTATAAGAGTTGTTTGTTATGTCCTTCTATACAGGGTGAGCCACCGATAACGCCTCGGTCTGTAGAGTCAAAACTATTTTATTTTAAAAAAAGTCCGTTTCCACAAAGAGATGTATATCAGAAAAGGCAACAATTTAAAAATAATTTTAATTATACAGGGTTCTCCAAGAAAGTGATACAATATTAAAGTTAAGTTTTTTAAATCGGACACCCTGTATATTTTTATATTTAAATTTTCCTTGCTTTTCCCATTATTACAATACCAAATAGTATGAAATTATACAGGGTATTTCACACGCTAGTACCAGTTTTATATGAAAATCGTATTGATATCAATGAACTGTATACTGAAAAAGAAACGATTTAAAACCATTTTTTTGAGGTAAAAGGTTTTCGATATTAGTCAACATTTTATGCCGATGCACTACTTTTTTCAATTCAAAACAAATGTGTACAGGGTGAGTCAAAATGCAAGTATATAATTTTCTCATTTCTTTAAATTTTAAATCATTTAAAAGACGGGTGTGACGTTATCCACATCCAAAAATGTACATTGAGAAAAATACAGCTCCATTGTAATAGTCATATAACTTCAAATGCAGATTTCAATTAAGGAGGTTTCAATACATAACAATCATACCTGCTATTTACTTCTGCTTCGTCTGAGGGGGTGCAATTAAGGGTGAAATTAAAAAAAAAATCATAGAAGCCACAAATGGCGTTGTACACCTTTATGCTTGGGATGTGTTATGTAGTTTGCTCCTTTCTTCATCCCTGACACCATGCTGGAGTTTGTCGAGCCGTCTGAGGGGGTGCAATTAAGGGTGAAATTTAAAAAAATCATAGAAGCCACAAATGGCATTGTACACCTTTATGCT